AGAGAGAGAGAGAGGCCTCGCATCAGATACTTGGAGGCCATCGTCTTGTTCTTGTTCTTCTTATATGTAGAGAGTACATGTGCCATGAGGAAGACATAGAAAGATTTAAAAAAACATATCGTTGACCTGGATCGTCCTCCTAGAAAACCGGTCCGAATCAGTGGATCGGTGATTTAACCTATTGAACCGGCCCATGAAAAATAAAATAAAAGTCGAGAACAAAAAAATTGTTAAAATTTACAAAGTAAAAGTTGGGACCGGTTCTGTTCGAAACCTGCCGTTTCTCTATATTTTGTGGGAACCTGATCGGCCCCGTCGGTTCCCAATCAGGATTGGCTAGTTGCGATCTGGATCCCCTGTTTTTAAAATTTTGACTTTTACTTTTTAAGCTAGTCTACCTTTTTTCGTTTGGTGCCACCTGGCCTTGTCTTGACGGGAGCCTAGGATCATGTCTTTCTAGGGCACCCACCTAGGCGCATATTAGGCCTTTTTTCCTCAGAGTGGCTGAATTTTTTAACATCGAAATATGTCACTCTTCATTTTTTTCTTTTGAGTTAATCTTGTGTTATTTGTGGCATTTTCATTTATTGGTCAGATGGCTATTGCATTTGATGCCTGTTCCATGCATACATGATTATGATAATGTTATGAATTTGACTGAAGGGTCCAGTAACATGGAATTTAAATACAAATTTAAGTTTAAGATTATCTTGGGGTTTGGTTGTTGTGGTTATGAATTGGATGACTTGTGTTTGGGTTTTTTTTAATTGAATCCTTCAATTTTTGAAGGATATTGATTCATGTTGCATATTCGGTGGGTATTTGGTTAACCAGTAGAATTAAATTTCAGAAAAAAAAAAGCCTTCTGTATTGACATGAATCTTTTGACAGATATGTTCTGCATGTTAGTTTATTAATATCTTATAGAAACTTAAGTCCTCACCATTTGATATCTTTAATATTCTACTACAAAAGCTTGCATATTGGTGACATCACTTCATTCCAAAAGCTGTCAATTTCTGATCACAATGTTCTACAATGATTTTTCGCATTCAATCTCTAGATCCATGACAAGTGCTGCTGATGTTCTCTATTAATGCTATTGGAACAGCAGAAATTTGCTTTTTGTGGAGCATTGCTCTCAGTTACTAAAACATTCAAACCATTACCATGTCATGTGATAGCATTGCAGCCATTTGATGTGTGTTTTATTTCTACTGATGAACACTATGAAAGTGACCAGTAAATTTGTTTTTGATTTGTTTCTTTCTTGTTTCTTCCTTATTCTGATTTTTCTCATTCATAATTTATCTTTATCTCTTATGCAGGAATGCCGATTTGTGAAGCTTTTGCTCAAATTGAACAGCAACCCAATATATATGATGTTGTTCATGTGAAATACCTAGATGAGGTTCGAATTCCTATGAGAATAGTTGTTACTTCTACTGCTTGAATTATCTTGTGCTCCCTTATCGTGTTCTTGTTCATGCTACTACTTATTATGTTCATGCTACTACTTATTATGAATGTCTCCTAGTTTTCTTTCTTTCAAATGGTTTCATAAGAGATTTCTCCCTAGAGAAAAATCTTGTAATTGACAATGTTGAAGATCCAGATGCTTTTGCTTGTGACTGTTATTATTTGTTGGTGCTGCAATCAAGTGTTTTTCATGTGATAATTTTGAATAATTGGGATTGGAGGGCATTGATTTTGCTGCATTTGGTGTGACCTACATAGGATTGGATACGATAAAGTTTTGATAATGAAAACATGACATCCAAGTTATAATTTTGCCATCGACCTACCCCAGGCCCCCACCCTCCATTTGTCATGTGGGAAAATTATTGAAGGTCTAGTTTTGGTTTCAAGAGCGAGTTTTTGTTAAATTAATACCTCTTTTTTTTTTGATTGGTAAAAGGAGTACTTTTTAAGGGTTATATGAATACTTTCTAGTGGTTGTCAATCAGGCAATTTTTTTATTTTTGAATCAGTTGACAATTGTATTGATCTTGTGCTGGTTAATCAGGCAATTTATTAGATAATAAACTCATAATATGTTGGGTAAAAAGTTTCCACATTTGTTTTTTCAGAGTATTTTTTGGTGTACAACATTGGTATGAGTGACAGCATGTGTACATTATTCATTAGGAGTGTGAGAGTTCCTGCCTGGGAGAGGAGAAAAGTTGTTGACCCTGTCACTTTGTGGATGTTAGAAAACTAGATTGTCTAGAACTCTACTTTGTATAGTGTCATACGCACCACATCTGATGATCCCGGTCTTTCTTGGACTCTTGTTATTTCTTACCGGATCTTTTGAGCCACTTCTGGCTATTTTCAGAGAATCATAGTTGAGATTAAACTTAGGAAGCAACTATTTATTCACTAAAACAGTTGCCCCTCTTGAGATAATTGTTCTATGCTTTCCTGTGAAATTCAAGCTATAAATTGACATGTTGAGGTAGGGGAGAATGCAAGTTGCATCATTAAATCTTGATGAATGACTAACGGTACACGATCCTATTGCATGATGTCTGTTGCTGCTGTTTTCCTATTCTCATTGGTGCCTCATTAATTCTATGGGAGATGGATGTTTAACAATAATTTTTCGAGAGGTGAATCAACTTTATTATACCCTAGTTTACTTTTTGGGATCCATGTTGTGACCTGGACTCATGCATGCATTTTCAATCCAGTATGTGTTTGCATTAGATGTTCTTAAAATTTTTAAAGTTGTCTTGTGCATGCCTCTGTATGTGCTCTTATGGATGCAATTGTGCCATTCGCTGGTCTGTATCCTTGGTTTTTAATTGCAAAACCTTGAACCTGTATCCTCAAATTTTGTTTGCAAAACCTTGAATTCATGTAAAAAACATAGCTTCACTGATAGAGATCATTGACTGGTGGTGCCTGGACTTTTCGAGCTAATACAAGTTATTGGTTTTTTCCGTCGATTTGTGCCAATCCTTTGGATTGATGTGAGTTGAACAAAAGCTGAACAAACAAATGATTAGCTGTTGTCTTTTTCCTTCGAAATGTGCCAATCCTTTGGATTGATGTAAATTGAACAAAAGCTGATTGGGTGTTTCTTTCTTTAATTTTGTGAATTATCTTTTCTTATGTTCTTTCTAAGTATTCTTTACTGGATCTTGTCATTTTCTCAAGTGTTACAGATTCCTTCACTTCTGTGCCTTTTGCCCCCCAAGAATACATACGAGTTTGTCATGCATGCCCTTTTCTAACAGTTTTCTCTAGTTTTTTAAATCCATTATTTGGAAAGCATGGCATAGCATCTGATGCATAACATAGGACGGACTTTTTTTACACTCAAATATTGGGCCCTTTTTTTTAACTCAAGTATTGCGTTGTCTTACAGGAGCCTTTAAAGCTAGATATTGTGATCAGCTTTCCAGACCATGGTTTCCATATCCGATTTGATCCTTGGTCACAGGTAGTGTCTTGTGGTTGTGGAAAAACCAAAATAGTTTATGTTGCAGTTCAAAGTAAGATAACATTATTTTAAGAATAAGAGAAGCTAAATAATATTATTTTGAGCAAATGCTTCAATGATATTATATGTTGTCCTACACACATTGACATCCGAGTCGGTCCCTACAATTCTCATCATTTTCACCCTTTTCTAAACCTTGTTCTAATACAAAGATTAGATTGCCTGGTCCAATTTGGTTCTTATAACATTGGGTCAGCCTACTTCTTACATTATGTCTTGTCTTAATATGCCTACAGAGGCTTCGGCTTATAGAAGTTTTTGATGTGAAAAGACTTCAACTGCGCTATGCGACTTCGTTGATTGGGTAAGACCAAATTGGAATTCAAGAATTTTTATTTTCGTGTATCAATATCTTGTACCGAATATATGCTTATTTTTTGGATTTATTTGCAGGGGTCCTACAACCCTTGCTACTTTTGTAGCAGTATATACTCTTTTTGGGCCAACATTCCCTGGAATATATGACAAAGATAGGGGAATTTACACGCTATTCTATCCAGTATGTTTATATTTTTATGTTAAGTATTGTTAACTTCTATTTTTATTTTTATGTTAAGTATTGTTAACTTCTATTTTTATTTTTATGTTAAGCTTCTTTCCATCAATAGAGACTATATTTTCTTTTTTAGTCTAACTTGTTGCCTGGATATATTGAATTTTGATTTTTGCACAGGGGCTATCATTTGCATTTCCCATCCCTCCTCAGTATGCTGATTGCTTCCATGATGGTGAAGGTGAGTCCTTTTGCTCACAGTCGCTGCATCTATGTACATAATAACTGTACCAAACTTTTTATGATATTTGGCATTTATTATGTAAGTATTTCTGTTTTGTTAGCGGAGTTGCCTCTTGAGTTCTCAGATGGAACAACTCCAGTTACTTGCCGTGTTTCTATCTATGATAGTTCAAGGGATGGTAAAGTTGGTCTGGGATTTCTTGTGAAGAATGCTTCCCCTCCTCCATTACCTGTTGGAAGTCTATACATGGAAGAGGTGCATGCTAAGGTGTGCTAAATCCTTCTAATTAGAGTCTGGTTCTTTGAACTTAAATCAGAAGGAAACATGAGATGTATCTGATTATGTGGTTTGCACTTTGCATTTGTCTAGTTGGGAGAAGAGTTGTGGTTTACTGTTGGTGGTCAGCATATGCCCTTTGGTGCATCACCACAGGTCAGAAGAAACTTGGCAGCATTATGATATTCTTATGCTGTAATTCTTCTTATTCACTATATATCTTTTTATTTGGGTTTCCCATGACTTTTTTTTTTGTTCTGCTGTTTCTTCTGTGGCTCTGACTTGTTTTTGGTTCTTTTTGGTGTATCCTTAAACAAGAATTGATATATTGGCAGAATATTAGTTGGACCTTCAGGCTTCATATGATTTGGTGAAATTAATCTCACTATTAGTTTTATTGCTGATGATGTAATGGTTTGCACAGGGTTTTCTTTTCTTTTAATGGAAAACCTTGTCTTTCAAAAGCATGGATGGTGTACTTGATTGTCCCTTTTGTGTTTCGTGTTTGTGTAGTGCCTTAAATTTTTGTTTCTTGCTCTTTGGGATTGTAGTTGTTTAATTTTGTCACATTGCTAGCAACAACAGTCATGATAATTTTGCTTGTGTGTGTAATTAAACTTATGTCTGCAGGATGTGTGGACTGAGTTAGGCCGCCCTTGTGGAATACATCAGAAGCAGGTAGTTCGTGTTCCTTTTTTGAGCTGACATTGGGATAGTATCTGTACTTAGAGAATTCATTCTAGTCATGTAACTAATTTCTTGACAACATATTTGTTCTTAGTTTTCCTTTTGATTCTTCAATTTGCTAGTGTTCTTGAAAGTTCAATTATGTGATTGGCATCAATTTGTTAAAAATATATTTGAATGGTTTCCATAAAGTTCTAATGGCAGGTGAGTTCTTTTGCTTTTTAGTTTTCCTTAGGATCAATGTTGTGTACTGGCTAAGATGAAGAAATATAACCAATAAATAACAAATAAGAAGCGTCCTGAATCAGGGTTACTAGAAGCTATTATATATCCTTCTTACTGTTCTTTCTTTACGCTTTTACTCAATTCAACATTGGCAAATGGCAACTAAGATTTCTGTTTCTAATACGACGATGTCCTACAATCAACATGCGCATAGCTTGTTTCAGGTGGAGTTAGCTGGATCTACCCTTTGATAGCATATTCTAAAACAAGGGGCGAGCTAAACAAAATAATAAAGAATAAAAGTTTGTTGATTCATTTACGAAGAAAAGAGCTCCCAAGATTCGCTGGGGTTTGACTTCATGTTAGAGAAAGGCCAATACCCCCTTTTCTAGACTGCATAGAGGACTTATGTTATTGTCTTAGGGGTTTGTCTTTTGATCCATGTACATGCTAAGGTATCTGAGGAATGTAGCGTTTGCATGTATTGCAGGTTGATCAGATGGTGATTCACTCTGCCTCAGATCTTCGACCACGATCAACTCTTTGCGGGGACTATTTTTATAATTATTTTACTCGTGGGCTTGACGTATTATTTGATGGCCAGGTAGTATCCTTGGGTGCCCCTTTCTTTCTTGAAACTGATGTAATCCTGAGGTTCAAGTACTTATTGAAGGATCTTGTATTGTCTGCAGAGTCATAAGATCAAGAAGTTTGTGTTGCATACGAACTTTCCGGGTCATGTAGACTTTAACTCATACATCAAATGCAATTTTGTCATCTATGGGGCTGATAGTAAGATGCAGTTTTCTTCATTGTTCATCTTAGTGATGTTCAAAATGTTTGTTTTCTATACTTTTTCTTATTTCCTTCTGCATATATATATATATATATATAAATTTTTTTTTTTTGGATACAGTTGGTGGACAATGCCTTGAAGGAGATTTATTAAAACATTCCATTACCCCTAGCACAAAGTGGGATCAAGTAAAGGTATTTGTGAGTTTGACATGATGTGCTCCATACCATAAAAGCTTCAAAATGGTTGATGCTTTTGATGCTTCCTATGAAGTAACACTGTGCCTTGCTTGTTCTTTTCAGTGACTTGATATTGTATTAGTTAAAAAAACCATTTATGGCCTATAAGTATATTATGGATGCTATCCATTTATGGCCTATAAGTATATTATGGATGCTATCCTGTTTTCTTTATCCAGCTGATGGAAAAGATAAGAACTTAGGAGAAGTCATTGGTTAATCTTTTCTTAAGGTGTATTTCTTTAAAATGTGTAAACTTCACAAAAAGCAATAAATATCAGAACTGTACACTTGACCATGTATATGCATCAACTATTGATCGAATAAACAAAAAACAAATTTCTAGACATTCCTTCCCATGCGAGAGAATCAGATAGCTGATTGGATTCCCTCCAAACATTAAGGAACGTGGTTGAATTGTTGAAATCCCCTGAAATCTTTCTAAAATCTCTGCATAAGGCACAATGCTACATTGGAGCCGCACTGGATAGTGTTCACAGAATCTCCTTCAATCAGTAGTGGTCCCCAATCTTTATTTTACAGTTTCAACTGGTTTAATGGTGCAGGGGCTTCTGCAATAGTGGTGTCACAGAGCAGCAGGTCTGGAGTGTAAAAGAAGGATCATCATTGAAATCTCTATATACCCCTGATGAACCTGGGTATCCAAGTGAATTACCATTAAAATTTAACTTTAGTGATCCTTGTTGTGGAGGGTTCCAAGATAAAGGTTAGCATTTAGGCATGCGTACTTTTTTCCCCCCTGATCGTGTTAACTTGTGTATTAAAAGAAAAGTTGTACAAGATGTACAAGTTACATTTCCTCAAAAAAAAAAAAGGATGTACAAGTTACAAAAATGACCACCCCCAGGCTAGGTGCGGTGTACAGAAAACCCTCTCAGGGTGTGCTATGCAAAATGAGATAGTCACAAGAACCATACATCCATTCTGCAATCATCAGAAGGTAGCAGAACCAAGAGCTCAAAAAGGTGCAAAAGTGATTCCGGGTGGGTTGTCTACTTGACTTGCTGCTTCTTTAGTGAGTTCATCTGCTGCTGCGTTTGCTTCGCACCATGTATACCTCCATGAGACATGCGTAGCCATGCAAATCTCCAAGGGCAATCCGGGGAGCCTGAAGCCCAAGCAATGACATTTTTGAAGTCGCCCTCAACAACCAAGGTGTGCCCCAGCGAGGGTCAAAGTTTTTGAGGCCTTCTAGAAGGATGTGGACCTCGGTGGTATTAGAGTCTGTGTGGCCGATATATTTTGAGAAGGAGAAGAGTGTCTTTCCCTCGTTTTCCCTAAAGATACCCCCAATCCTTGTAGGGCTTGGGTTGCCTAAGGCAGTGTTATAGAAAACGCCGAGCGATGCCTAGGCGGTTAGGGGGTCCTAGTCGCCCAGCGCTTAGGTAACCTATGTGAAGAAGATGGGCAGTGGGTAGGGGAATATGAGTATACATCATAAAATATTAAAAATCCCATATTCAAAAAGTTCCAAACCTTTGTATATTTGTAAGAGATAGACTATTGGCAAAAACAAAAATAAAATATAATAGTAATCAATAAATTAGTAATACAGGCACATCAATAATCCATACTCCATAGACCGTACTCCATGCTCCATAGTTCATAGCATTCCATAATCCATATTTTCATACAATGATACAACCATACATGCATACACATAAGAGTAGATAGTAGAAACTAGCAAATAAGAAAAAGAAAATATATAGTCTAAGACTCGACAACAAAAGTCAAGTGTCTTCAGTCATCATCAGAAAAAGTAGGGTAAGCCTCATCATATGCATCAAATTCAACTCCATCATCATCGGAGTCATCTTTCTCTTCAACATAATGCTCGTCCTCCTCTGTATCTTCTAAATCTGCCTCTTCCTCTTCTTCTTCTGGCTCCCTCTTACTCTGTGCAGATGAGGCCCAAGGAGTCTTGACGGCTTTGCTTGGTACGTCTTTACCCTTTTCTTGCTCTTTGTGTTTCATTGAGCTCAAATATTGTTTAATCCCCTCCCTGGTAGCCACATGAGCATTTTTACACGGGGCAACATCACCTTTAATACCGACAAGGTGTTTCTTGAACTGGTAAATACCCCTATTAGTATCATTTCCACAATAATTATACCTTATACAATTTTTGTCATTCAGATTCTCGAATCACTACTTCTATAATAACTTGGCGAAGATATTCCATATAACAAGGCTTTGTTTCTTCCTTTTCTGGTTTTACTAAATTCAAAGATTGTCTAATCTTATCCTTAATAGCTTCAGGGACCTTTTTACAAGAAGCAACAGTCCCTTCAAAATCGTCTAGGTGTATCCCCATTAGTATCTTTTCACAAAAACTATACCTTATACAATTTTTATCGTTTGGTTTCGGGTTATAACCATACTTCCAACCCGAATCACCACTTCTAGAAGAACCAGAAATGAACTTATCCAAATGATAAGGATTTTGTTCTTGTTTTCCTTTTCTTTTTTTTTAACTAACTCATATATTGCTTAATCTCCTCTTTGATAGCTTTAAGAATATCTTTACAAGGGGCAACATTCCCCCTAATACTGGCAAGGTGTTTTTTGAACCGGTTTTATACCCCCATTAGTATTTTTTTTTACAATAATTTCATCTTATACAATTTTTTTCATTTGGATTTGGGTTATAACCATACTTCCAACCTAGTTCATCACTTTCAGAAGAACTTGAATAAGACATTGAAGTAATAAATAACATTCTCAAAATAGTAGGGTAAGCCTCATCATATACATTGGATTCGAGGCCATCATCATCGGAGTCATCTCCCTCTTCAACGTAACGCTCATCATCCTCTGTTTCTTCTAAATCTGCCTCTTCCTTCTCTTCATCTACCCCTTTCTTGCTTTGTCCAAATGAGGCCTTAGGAGTCTTGGTTGGTCTGCCTGGTGCCTCTTCACCCTTTTCTTGCCTTCTGTGTTTCATTGAACTCAAATATTGCTTAAATCTCTTCCCTGGTAGCCACAAGAACATTTTTACAGGGGACAACGTCCCTCGTAATAACGGCAAGATATTTTTTGAAACTGTAAATACCCCCATTAGTATCATTTCTATAATAATTACACATTATGCAATTTTTGTCATTCAGATTCCCGGATCATCACTTCTAGAAGAATTTGGAGAAGATATTTCCATATACCAACTCTCATTTTCTTCATTTTCTAGTTTTACTAAATTCAAATGTTGTCTAATCTCATCCCTAATAGCTTAAGGAATCTTTTTGCAAGAAGCAACATTTCCTTTAATACTGGCTATAGGTTTTTCTTGAGTCGGTTAATACCTCTGTTTGTATCTTTCTCACAAAAATTACACCTTATACAATTTTTATCGTTTGGTTTCGAGTTATAACTATATTTCCATCCCTGATCGCCACTTCTAAAAGAACCAGAAATAGACTTATCCAAATGACAAGGCTTTTGTTGCCATTTTTTTTTGTTTAACAAATTCATATATTGCTTAATCTCTTCTCCGATAGCTTTAGGAGCATTTTTGCAACGGGAGACATTCCCCTTAATACCAACAAGGTGTTTTTTGAACCGGTTACACCCCATTAGTATCTTTTTCGCAATAATTTTATCTTAAGCGATTTTTTTCATTTGGATTTGGGTTATAACCATACTTCCAACCCAGAACAGGACTTCTAGAAGAACCCGAAGAATACATTGAAATAACAAATAAAATCTCAAATATGAAGATTTTTAACTAACCTTTTTGCTCGATCTTCAATCTTCAATGTTTGAGATGTTTCTCAATCTCAAATACTTCCCAAAAACCCTCAAATAAGCTTAAAAAATCATCAAAATCAAATCCAAATAAAAAAAACAATGTTTGGATCGATTTTTTAAAACTTTGAAATACCCATTTGATCTCTTAGAAATGTAGAAAAATTATTTTTTTTGAATTTTTTCTCCACTCTAAAGGTCAACAAAGGGGTTTAGGTCACACAATAACCTAAACCCCCTTTTCCCCTAATTTGGGGGTAAAAAAGACAAAAATGCTCATTAGCTAGGGGCATTTTTGCTCCTGGAAAGTGCTCATCAACTAGGGGCATTTTTGCTTCTGGGCAGGGCGCAAGCCTTGTACGGCTACCTAGTGACTCCCTGCCCAGGACACCTGCCTTACCCAAGCCCCATGGCCCTCCTAGGCAGCTGACTAAGTGCTAGGCTGGCGCTTTTTGATTCATTGACCTAGGGAGCAAGCATCGAAGTTAAGTTTGGGTTGCCTAGGTTTCGGGGGTCTGCAAAAGGAAGCACGGGGGATGTGGGTGGGCCTAAGGTGTAGATGGCTTGCTAGTTGTGATGGAAATCCCTATGGGAAAAGTGTTTAAAAGCACTATTGTTTTTGGCCCAGAAAACGACAGATTCCTTCACCCTGTTTGTCAAGGCGTCGTGTGGTGTATTCTCCTTAGAAGGTCCCGTTGTTCCACTTTGTCCATATAACCCACGATGTGGCTTCTATGGACACCCTCAAGAGAAGGATACTCTATTTTTCCCAAGGGAGGGGATGCAAAGGCCGAAGAGTTGGGGGATGGTCCTCGGAGTCACCAAGTACTAATTAGAGAGGTACATGAGGTCCCCCAGAGATCCCTTCCACCCCCTACAATGAATGAAGAGGTGGGCGTTGGTCTCTTCATATGTTGAGCACACCACACGTCTGTTTGGAATGGGCACAACCCTTTTCTGGAGCTGGTCAACAGTAAATGCACTTTCGGAAGAAGACTGGAATTTTATGGGGAATGGAAGGGAACCGGGCCCTTGAGGTGATGGATGGAGGCAGGACAAAAAGAGTTGGCCCCAATAGGAGTTTGCCTTAGGAAGAGGAGACACAGAAGACACCAGAGGCTGCTGGAGATCCCATAGTCCTATTCTCTCCGAGTGGAGAGGAAAACGGATTGGCGGAGGAAGGATAGTGCAAGGAAGTCGCCCATCTCATCGTCAAGGGGCCTCCTAAAGTTGGGGTTCCAAATTCTCGAGGAGCCCAAGGTGTCAAAATGGTCGGCAACTGAGGCCTCACGATTTCGAGCAAGGAGAAATTGGTTAGGGAACCGTTCCTGCAGAGAGGTGTTGCTTATCCAGAGGTCTGACCAGAACTTGACTCGATTAGCAACCCGTGGCCGGAATCTGATGTTCTCTTTGAAGAGGGTAAGGCTACGATGGATGGATTTCCAATCTCCTGAGGAGCGACTGCCGGCTTTGCATGGTGGCAGCCAGTCAGAGGAGGGGAGGCGATATTTATGGTGGAAGATGTCTTGCCAAAGGTGGTTGTCCTCAGTAGCCAAGCGCCACCACCACTTGCCTAGGAGGGCCTCATTATTCCTCTTGAGGTTACAGATTCCTAGCCCCCCAAGGTGTTCAGGTAAGCATACTGTGTCCCAGGAGAAAATATGGTATTTTTTGCTACCCTCTTCACACGACCAGAGAAAGTTCTGCATCCATTGCTCTAGTAGATGGGCTACTTTGGAGGGGATGTGGAACAACACTGTCTGGAAGATGGGGACACTGGAGAGGGTTGCTTTGATTAGGGTAATTCTACCTGCAGAGTTTAGGAATCGCCCCTTCCAACCGGCGAGCTTTTTGTCGAACTTGTCTATGATGCGACTCCATTGCTGCTGTTTGGGCTTACCAATGCAAAGGGGTAGGCCCAAGTAGGTCAAAGGTAGGGTTTCAACGTCCCAAGCCTAGAGGCTGTGTACTTGCTGCGAGGAATTAATTCAACAAGAAATCAACCACTAAACACTGGCAAACTCTTTCCTAGCTCTACTCCAACTGATGATATTAACTTAATTTTTCCTATCAAAGGCTCCAATCTCAAATATTACCCCAAAGTTTTGACTATTATTCTCTAGTCATAATCCCCAGAAAAGTGCGAAAATGGATAAGTGCTATATCAGATTACCTGAGTGGGGGAGAGGGTAACCAAGCCACGACCTTAAATAGGCTTTCTACCTAGTTGGGGTACGCCCAAGGTACATCAGATCAGCATACAAAGTGCGTCTGTACCTGAAGGCCAACATGAAATGCAGAAGCAGATGCTGGACAGTTTCAGCATCATGCTTACAAAGGATGCATGTGTTAGTTAACGTAATTTTTCATTGAATGAGATGATTGATTGTTAAGATCTTGTCATGAATCACTAGCCATCCAAGCCCAGGTTTTTGGTGGTGTGGATAGAGCCCCGGTTTTCTAGCAAGGCCCTCATAGAATGACTTAAATGATTTCAACTGATAATACTCCAGAGGAATTAGGAGCCTGGATCACCATGTCTTCTCCCTGAATTTACTTTAATCTAGTTTTACATGTCTTCTCCCTGAATTTTCTTTTATCTAGTTTTACTTTTCCCATTGAATTGCGAAATTGTGTTTGTGATTCCTACGTTCTGTATTGAAATTCAGGGTTTCTTTGTTAGGAAGAGGTGATCCATGATGAGGATGATTTTATGATAATCAAAGAAATACACATATATGTAACAAATATTTTGAATAATTCCTGTAAGGAATAGTACTAGAGAATACGGTACCCTATTCCATATTTTGATTGACAGTACCTGTCTTTTTGTCTTCCTCCTACCATTTGATTGTTGTGCATACTTTTGATTACAGGAGATACTTGGGGATGGGGGACGAGCAGCGATTCAAACGCAGGGGTCTACCAGCAATCCTTTTGGGTCGACATTGGTATATGGTTACCAAAATGTAGCATTTGAGGTGTGAAATACCGTGGGAAAAGCAGCAGTCTTAAAATTGTTCAATTATATTTTCCTGTTCAAACATGTCTCATTTTCTGTTTTCTTAACATTACTCTTGCTAAAAGACCAATGATGATTATGTAACCTTGTCAAAAAAAAGAGAGATCAATGATGATTTCCTAGCCTAAAAATTTAATAAAACTGACTTTATTAACAGGTGATGAAGAATGGCTATATTGCGACTGTTACTCTCTTTCAATCATGAGGAGATTGAGGTAAATATACTTCATTTTGGCAAAATGGCTTTTTCAAAACAGCTAAGTAGTGAATTTGTGGAATTCAGCAGAAGATTACATGAGAGGGTATAATAATTCTGATCCTTAATGCAAAACTATTTTTCCTTCAGATCTTCAATAATACCTTTAATGTATCAAATAGTTTTACTGCGGAAAAAAAAAAAAAAAGCATAATAGTCCTTAATTAGTCAAAATTTATGAAATATCACTTATCAAATATCACCATTACTATACATGTCAAGGAATTCGTGTTAATCACATTTTAATTTGAGGATCACAAGTCCTAATTCATCTCTTTTTACAGGGAAATGCTTGGTTTTCTAATGCTGCAAGAGGGCATTCAATGAGGTGCTCCTTCACCTTTCAGGAAACTTCATGTACGCATGTGGCCATGTACAGTTGATTTATTGGATATATAATGAGTGAAATTTGTAAATATGATAAAAATGTTGTTCTTTGGTGTTTATTGATATTGGTTTATTTAGTGTTTGTGTGCGCTTTTGCATATCCACTGCTTGTGTTCTTGCATGTGTAGAGAGAGAGAGATGCAGTACCAAGGACTCCACTCAAGGTGTACAAGATACAAAGTTTTCGTTTTGCTTCCCAAGTAGCTTACAGAATCTTTGGAAAATCCTCACAATTTATAATCGCAAGTACATTTTTCTTCCGCTAAATTATTTTCAACAATAATTTCACAATGATGAGCCTTGTTCTATTATAACATTTTTCATTTCACAACATAATGAGAAAAATACTGGACAAAAAGATCCAAATGTGCACGAGTTTGACATGGCCTTGGGAAACAGTTTTAATTATCAATAAAAGAAGGGTTGTAATCCGGTGTTGGTCCTGCTTAAGCAGTGTCTCGGGAGGGGTGGGCTGGAAACGATCCTAACTTTTGGTCTATGCACAAAGTGGCTATTCTCAAGACTTGAATCTGCGCTCTTGTGCTGGCTACTTTAGCTACTCAGGTATGTAATATGGGCTAAATGAATTTCACGTGAGATACAAAATAATGAGAGCATTAGGTGGGAGAAAACCAGCTACAAACCGGACATAAATGGTGTAGTTTTAATGCAAGGGCGTGCTATGGCCTTTACCAACAGGGGGGCATGAGAAAGTGCAACTTAAGACCCAAAACAGCATCCATAACTCAATGTTATGGCTTAATATAATCAATTTTACAGTAAGGGATAGGCTTTCAACAAATCTCAAGAACAAATTCCAAAATTACACTAAAACACATGCCATAGCAACCACAAATGCAAGAGACATCATGGGATCAAGAGGGCACCAACTAAAGTTCAAAATCCCTGCTAGAGCTCACTGGTTGAAAAGACATATTTCCAACAACAAAAGTCCATAACGGTTTGGAGGAATCATGCTCAAAATTACACCTCTCGATGCGTACTATAGAGACGTTTTTAAATGCAACAATCAATGAGCTTCAAAAGAGAAAGGATAAGGCAAGTGAGCTTACTGTTGTCATTATTTACAGCAGCTCCCTCATATTCAATTGACAAAGTGAGTGCATGGGTAGGTGTGTGGCCAACCTTGGAGTTATCCCTGTGCACATTCAAGTTCAAGGGATCTTTAAGGCTCATGGAACAAATAAAGAGAAGAATGGAGTGGGGCGTAGCCCATTTAAGGGAGGCCACAAGTGAACATGGTGAGAAAAAAGAAGTGAATAATAAGGTGGGATAGATCCTATTTATAAAAGTTCTAAGTGTGGGTTTCAATTTAGATTAGATTTTGGTCATTCAATGAGTGATCCAAAGGTTGAGAGAGGATAAAAACCTAGAAGCACACCTTTTATCACTATGCCCATAAGTCACCTCCAAATTTTCAATAATTATACAAGTGTCGTTCAAACCCTAATTTTGAAGTTAAGTAAATCTCAACCATTGACTTTGAAATCACTTAATCACCACCATCATTTTCAAATTTCAAAATGCATCTTCACATAAGGGGGGTATGCCACCCTCTCTCTCTCTCTCTCTCTCTCATGTATATCCTTGCACTTCACTTCATATTATTGTATTACTTTCAAAGAGAGACATTACATCATCATATGCCACGAGGTGTCCCTTATTCTTTCACCATCAATCAAATGCTTTTATTCATAAAAATTCATTGACCTACCAATCATAAAATTTCTAGACACACACATACTACAGCACATGTGATCCACATATGTACCACAAAGTCACACTTATCAAAGTTATGTCCAAAACCAAACAAAGCAGATGCGCCCAAACCCTAGGATTGTCCATATCATTCTTGCATGGCAGTGACATGGCAGTCCATTGCGTCCCACTTATGGGACATATTGGCTACTTGTGTGCCACACGTCACACATGCGAATGTCCTTATTTAAAATTTCACATCAACAATTTAAACGTGTCATTTTTCCTCAAAATAAAAATTTCAAAAGTTCTCTAAAATCTCAACAAATCATTTTAAATAATTTCATCAAAATATCACAGTCTGACATTTTAGATAAATCAAGTTGGAAAATTATGATCCTTTAAGAGGTTGGGCTACAACTAGATCTGGAAACCAGACAACTTTCTCAGACCAACCCGGCCCCTATGCATCACAAATTTAAGTCATGACATATTTGGACTTGTCCAAGTTAACCGACAAGTGGTTGGATCCCCGAGTGTTTAGTGGATTACAAATGTCCCCTGAGGATATGCACTTTTGCAATTGCGGGGATCATCTCTCAACACGTGTGAATAGTTTTGTGGATCTTACCTTATTAAAACAGCTTATCAAATTGCAATTGTCCTATGTACATATTGTGAGTAAGCTACACATGTCAGGGATTTGGGCTTATGCCCTGTCAGAACGCAACTTAGCTCACACAGGGCTTCTCACACACAAAAAACATCTCAAACATATTGGGATGCACTGATCCTCAAGCCATGGGTCACACCACATGAGGTGCGCACACATACACACCGACCCTAACTAGAGGAACGCTCAACCTCTCGTTTCATATCATAGCCCAAGAACCTTGCCTCATATAATCGAGGTTATATCTAGGCTTATCCAGATCGCAGTCTGCAAAGATTCTAGTAGCCTCAACGTTCCTAATCACTCCTACTATGACCTAGAACCATGCTGGCAAAACACAAGACCCTGAAAGTCCATAATTCCAACAAGAGAGAGGCTCGTGTTTGGTGCATTTGCACAAGTCACGTGCTTACATGTGCATGGAGAGAGAGAGAGAGAGAGAGAGAGAGAGAGAGAGAGAGAGAGAGAGAGAGAGAGAG